CCCTCTCTCTCCTCCCTCTCAATGGGTCAGTTGACAAAGAAATCCGTCTAGTGCAAACTGACCCACACAGATTGCCGTTTCTGGTCGGATCCCCATTCTTTGCCAAGTTAACTAATCTCAGAGGTGCCTAACTGGGCACTAGAAAATGGTGCATCAAGGTTCTTGCTCTAAATTGATCCCTTGCAGCAGGAAAGTGCATGTGTGAGCATTTTGGGCTGAGGCGCTATCAGCCAGTTACATCTTACTGACACTCTAAGGTTTGACGCACTATTTTGCTAAAATGTCCAGCGTTCACTACCGTGTTTAATTGCATATACACCAAGGAAAACACCTACTGACTGCAAGATAAACAGAGGCATGTGGAGCAGGGAAACTTGCCCAACATTTCCCCCGGTAGGGGGAAGTTCCCTTACTCCACATGCCTGTTTACCTAGCAGTAAATAGGAACCAGATTGCTAGTTGATTGTCGGTTGGCTTTTCCCGGGGTAATAATTCCTTAAAAAACATAATAATAAATTGGTCACTCAATCTACAACTGTTTGTGGAAAACTGCTGTGCGCAATTGGCTGCCACAAATTACAGTCCATTTAGCATTCTATTCTGTGAAGTGCTTCGATTCCTGGCAGGGTGAAATGTTGGGCAAGTTTTCTTACTCCACACGCAAGAAAGAACCCTTAGTCGATTGGGGGGATCGCTTTCCCGGGGGCAATAATCCTTCAAAAAAGCAATAATAATTTGGTTACTCAATCCATGACTGTTTGTGGGACACTGCTGTGTGCAATTGGCTACTGTGTTTAACCCACAAATAGTCAATTCACTTTATAGCATATTCTGTGAAGCGCTTTGAGATGTCTAGAAGACGTGAAAAGCACTATATCAAATGCAAGGAATATTATAATTAGCAATCCAAAAAGGCAGGGTTTTTTAAAAAAAATATTTAGAGGTTTATTAGGACGTGGAAAGTGATACCTAACAAGAATGATAGTGGAGGCAACGTCCATAATAGCTTTTAAGAGGGAATCAAATATCTGAAAAGGAGAAATATAAATGGATGTGGAGAAAAGGGAGCAGAATGGGATTAAATGGCTAACTCTTTCAGAGAGCCTGCACAGGTGCAAGAAGATAAATAGAAACGCAAAAATATTTTAATTTCAGATATCCATAACAATGGAATAAAAACACTTTGAATAGACTCCACAACAATGTATAAAAGCAGAATTTTTAAACCTTTAAACAGGTTTTTTAAACAAAGAGCAAAATCATCAATGCAGTATCGACACCCAGCACCAGATCATTTAGCGAGTGACATTGTCTGGGCACGTGTTCACAATCCAGCTCTCGGCTTGTGAATTAATTCAAAGCAACTCTGGTGAGAGAAATTAATTCAAGAATAGCTCAGGAAGTCAGTTCTACTGTAATGCAAAATGCAAGGCATTTCAGGGGAAATGTATTTTGCTTAATTTTGCTCCATCTCTTCCTCTCTCTGCTCCATCTCTCTTTCTCTCTGCCACATGGAGTCCTGTAGCTCAGTGGTTAGAGCATTCGCTTTGCAAGTGAGAGACCCGAGTTCAATTCCAGGCAGAGGGCCAAACCTTGGGCAAGTTTCCTTACTCCACACAGAGCCTAATAATAATCCCTCCAAAACCAAAAGCAATAATAAATTGGTCATTTTCAATCTACAACTGTTTGTGGGACATTGCTGTGCGCAATTGGCTGCCGCGTTCGCCCACAAATATACAGTCAATTCACTTTACAGTGTGTTCTGTGAAGCACTTTGGGCCGTCCTCCCGACGTGAAAAGCGCTATATCAAATGCAAGGATTATTATTATTACACCCTGTCCCTCTGCCTAGGTCACCCTAGTTCTCACCAACCTGTACTCAAAAGTCTTCAGAATTAGATAAGAAGAGTGCATCCCTCCAGAGAGAGACTGGGCATTTCATTCCAGACACAGGGAACTTTCCATGCCTAGATGGCTTACAAATATGGAGCTCTTAGTCTGGTTTGGAAACTCTTAAGCATGGTGATGCGTTGCTGCCTACATCAGACACCCAGCTGAACAAAATATCCTTGGGAAGCTATAACAAATTAGTTTCTGCATTTGATGGCATTTTCACAAAAATGAAAATGATTGCCAAATTTGGGCTATGATCCCATGAACTTTGTCTTGAACTGATGTTCGACTGATTCTGCAAGTCTTTCTATAATTCACCTGAAACATACAAATAATTTGTTGAACAGATGAAAACAAAATTTACCTGTGGTTTGTATAAAGGGGGAAAGGGGAGAGTAATGTCAGCTGCAAAGTAAATATTTACCTTTAAAAGCCTTGGTTTTAAAGTGGTAGATACTGGAACCTATTTTTTCCAATTGGATAGAAGATTTTGTGTAAAGAAAAAAATGGTCCAATAGAAAGCATAAAACCTACATAAATCAACAATTCAAACCATACCATTTTAACATGGATTAGCAGAGGATGAAATGACAGAACAAGTTTTAAGTTAACTTCAGAAACTGCGTCACTAGCAGGTGAGTGTCCTAATAAGTGCTATATTAGAGGGTGTGGCACAGTCCAAGGGACATGGTTAGAGCATTTTGTTGACTTTTCATAATCAAAAGAGTCATAAAAAGGATGGTCACAAAATGTTATTATCATTTATGGTCAAATAGTGCAGAGAAGCAATTAAAGCATGTAATCAATAGGTTTTAGTCAGTTCAAGGCACCCTGTTACAGCAGAAGATATTTATTCTAACCATTAATAAAATATCAAGTAAATTTCATTGCAATAGTGAACTAAAGTATAGCATTGCTTATGATATATTCTCATGCCGAGATGAGATGACTATACGAAAAGCGTATTGGAATATATCATAAAGACAATTCCGATTTCCAGCTAACTGGCATGAATCAACTTCCGATATCAAAATACAAGTGTCAGAACTGCAATTGTTGATTCAAAGCAACTCTGGTGAGAGAAATTAATTCACGAATAGCCCAGGAAGCAAAGAGATCCTGGAAATTAGGCTTCCATTCCACAAACAAATCCCAATAGGTTATACTGTACAGTGCTATGGGTTATCTTCATGGGAAATAAAAAGATGAGCAATCTGATGCAAGAAATGGCGATTAATCAGCATTTTAAAGATGGGCTCACATTGTGTGTGTAATACTTCAGCGCTCTAGGCGTTTTTTTTTAAAAAAAGCTGAAAATTTCAGGAAAGAAATTAAATTCCCTGCTCACTTGTCTATGTCTACAAAAGCCAAACATAAAAAAACTCTACCTTTAATGCTCCATTCAGTGCTGTTTTACAGAATTGTTGCAAGTTAAATTGCAGAAGTTGGGCTCCAAGCTGCTCTACTTGTACCAAGACATTCTAGGAAACATTATCAGGCAACTGCACGATTGTTTGATCTTTCTCAACATGTCGCCAAGCAAATGATTTTTTAAAAAAATATGCATGTCTGGAAGTCAGTAACAATTACAATAAGAAATTCAAAATAAAGCAACATTCACACACAACACACACAATATAAAACTAAAATCCATAATGTAATGTTTAAAATGTAAAATCCATGACTCAATGTGTAAGTGGGATCCCTTTCCTATCTGCAGATAATAACAATAATCCTTGCATTTGATATAGCACCTTTTCACATCATTGAGGTATCTCAAAGCACTTCACAGAATAGAATGTTAAATGGACTGTAATTTGTGGGCAAAATGCGGCAGCAAATTGCGCACAACTATGACCCACAAACAATCGTGGATTGAGTGACCAATTTGAGATATGGTTACCCCCGGAAAGCAATCCGCCAGTCAACTAACAACCGGGTTCCTACTTACTGCTATGTAAATATTGATGTTAGAAGTAACAAGGCTTGCCTAAGGTTTCACCCCGCCCAGGAGTCAAACCCGTGTCTTCTGGCTTGCGATGAAAGAGTACTCGCCGAGAGTATTACATTATGGATTTTAGTTTTATATTGTATGTTGGTGTGTGAATGTTGCGTTATTTTGAATTTCTTATTGTAATTGTTACTACGAGATTCCACTGCTCTTTTTAGCCCTTCACCCTCAATCACAATAATAATCACAGAATCCTTTGGGTTCTTACAATCTGGCCACATTTATTTCCTGAGCTGCGCCCCTCCAATCCACTCATCCTATATCGCCTGATCTGCTCACCCTACCCTTCCCGGTCAGCTATTGCCTCCACTCTCCACCCTCTTTCAATCTGACAGCAATTACCTGGGAAGCACTTTGGGGTACAAACACAATAGGAACTATATCAAATGCAAGGATTATGGACCTCCCTGCTACCACCACCCCCCTCCCCTCCCCAACACACAATCCCAGGCATTTTCCAACCCGGGTTCAGCCCTCCCCTTTCGCACTCCATCACTTCCAAATCCTTAGGCCCAAGAGAGAGCCCCATCGATCACCCCAACCCCAATTCCTTCCCCATCCACACCCATCCATCCATCCAACCACAAAACTCTTCCTCCCTCTTCCTCATTCTCTCCCCTAAAAAAAACCCATCTTTCTAAGGAACCCTCCACTCTGCCCCCCCCCCCCCCCCACCCACAAACAACTCTTATCTAACAGGCTCCTCCTTTCTGATGCACAGACAGTCACACCCAAAACCTTAACAGAGGTCCCTTTCGGCGTTGCTTTTGGACCCGATTCGCATTTCCAATAATATTTTGCTGTTTCACAATCCCAGCGCCAGGAAATGATCATGTTATACATTCCGGAGGTTTGCTGTTCCTCTCTCCCCCCCACTCCCCCCTCACACACACACACACACACACACAGCCCCTAATCCAAATCTCAACCAAAGGACCCCTCCCCTCCTCCCTCCCTCCCTCCCTCCCTCCCGGGCTTCTCTCTCTCCCCCTCTCTCTCTCTCTCTCTCTCTCTCTCAGCTCCGGGCTCATCTCTTCTCGGTCCCTTCTTTCACTCCCCTCCTCCTGTCGCTACCCTCAGTCACTCACTCACTCACCAGACCATGCCGTAGGCGCCCTCGCCGATGTAGCTGAGGTTGGTGTATCTGGGCCCGGTGTCGAACACCTGTCCCCGGATCACTTCGGGCCCGGTGGCGCATTGAACAACATTCTGCGCCGCGTCCATCTTACTCCGCTCGGCCCGACTGCTCCAGCACCGAGCCGATTGGACAGCCGGCGGCACGTGACGACAACCACCGCACCGAGTGCCGCGATTGGACAGCGGGCGGCACGTGACGCCGTTCCCCGCTCCGAGCGGCGCGGTTGGACAGCCGGCGGCACGTGACGCCGATCCCCGCACCGAGCGGTGCGATTGGCTAGCCGGAGACCACCTGACTCATGGGCTGCCTGAGAGGAGGAGGAGGAGGTGCCGCGTGCGTCTCTGCGTCGTGAGCAAGGCCGCGACCCAGCCACCAACCGGATAATGCCGGTCGCCCAGCTCCGTCGCTTGTATACATATATATTATATATACACTGTATATATATTTATATATATGTCACCGGAGGGCCTGGCCGGTAGCGGAGGGAAAGCGAGCGCTGTTTGGCGGGCGATGTCACGTGCCTCAGAGCGAGCGGCGGAGGTGGGCACGTGATCTGCAGCGTGACCCGCCGGAGGGGGCGCTGTGCTGTGCTGTGGTGCAGGAAGGAGGTAACCGCTGTAACACCTGTAACAGGAGCACAGCTCACCATTCCTCTTTGTGAAATAATAATGATAATTCGGTCACTCAATCCACGACTGTTTGTGGGACGCTGCTGTGTGCAATTGGCTGCCGCGTCTTGCCTACAAAGTACACTGTCAATTCGATTTACAGTATATCAAAGTGAAGCACTTTGAGACGTCGCGATGATGTGATAAGACGCTATATCAAATGCAAGGATTGTTATTATTAAAATGCTTCCAACAGGAAGCATGCCTTGCCTTCCATGCCTCTGTCTTGTTGCTGAGTGTGTGCCTGTAGGCAGCTGCCGCAGTCAATTTATTCCACGGCTGTTTGTGGGACATTGCTGCGTTTTGCCCACAAAATACAGTCACTCCACTTTACAGTATATTCTGTGAAGCACTTTGAGCCCTGAACATATTGTCTTATGTGATAAGGCGCTATATCATATGCAAGAATTATTTATTATTTACTCAGTTGGATTCCAATAAATAGCCATGTGGTGATTGGTCTTGAGGGGACCAGCACAGGCACGATGGGCCACATGGCTCTGCCTCTGTGCCGTAAATGTCTGTGAATTCTATGGTGTTTGTTTAATTATTCTGGAGGGTTATTAGCCAAGGTACATTCCTTTCTTTTGCAGCATATCATGAGATCTTTAACATTGCAAACAAAGTGTGCTCCCTCAGAAAATGTCCACCTGAACCCACAACTTTCTACCTTCTCGGCAAAAATGCCAGCAAACGTCCACACTTCACAGTAAATACTAAATACACAAAACATAATCTATTATGCATTTCATCAGATTAGGTTTAGCTCTTGGAAAATTAATTTCTAGTAGATGTCTTATCTTTTACATGCATATCTCATATCACGCATTTGTATCTCAGCAACTTCAATAAGATGCTCAAATTGATAGTGAGCAGATTTGAATCTTCAGGTTTGCAAAGAACCCGCTGAAAAGTCAGGGCTTCCAGCTTGGAGTATGACTTGGTGTAGAAGTCACACTCAGTGGCAACCCTAGTTCAGTTAATAGAACTCTTGTCTCTACGCTTTGGGGGTTAAGACGCATGTACTTGTAGCTTGTAGTCTAGGCTGAAACTCCAATGTAGTGCTGCATTGGAGATTCCATCCTTCACTTAAGACATTAAAATGCGGTCCCATCTACCTGTTCAGGTGACCATTAAAGTCACTATTTGAAATGAATATAATACTTTTTTTTTAAAAAAAGGTTAGGAAACAGGATTAGAAAGATAAAGAGTCTGTGCCTCATACGTTCCGGGATTAGGTAAAGAGAATGTGTCCCTCTAGGGAGCATTTCCTTCCAATACATGGAAATTTCCATGTGTAAGTTTGGATACTCTTTAAATGGGTTTCTGCATGTGTCAGACCGGGCTGACCAAAAAAGATAACTAGTTGCCAGTACTTAACAAAATAGTAGAGGGCCTGATAGATTTCAATGGGCCTAATGGCCGCCTCCTATAGCTTCCAAAACAGAAATATAATGTTATATTTATAATGTTATAATGTCTGGCTGAGAGCTTCCCATTTGTGTAAGCATGTGGAAGATGGCAAGCAACATCAGATCAGTCAATAACCAATACAGCAGCTCACAAATATACTGACTGTATGTTACAACATTACAGGAGGTTAAGCAATAAATTGTTTCTAGTTTGCAGTGGCAACTGCAAGGGTGGTAGAACTTCCCTTTTTAATTAAAGTCGAACTCAAAATGCTTACATTTCTTTGCCCTAGTCGTATTTTATGTTGGATAAACTGATAAATCGGAATCTTTTGTTGGTCACAAATAATCCTAAATCCTATAGAAATCATCGAACTAATAACACCATTACCTCACTTACCGGCTGCATTGAAGACCTGCAGGATGCTCAGTATTTCATTTGAAAGAACACGGGAAACAAATTCCGAGCCGGGTGAGAGGGATATTATATGTTAAAAGTCATATTAAATGTTATGGTCCCGACTGATACAACTTACGTGAGTTTTACTGTAATGGTTCGGGGATGGGTTACAAAAGCATTTGTGACTTTTTTTAAAACATTTTAAAGCTCTTTTTTAAAATATGTTAATTTTTATTAAACAAACCACAGTTTTTAACAATGAAATAACACAAATCTATATTACAAAAACAAAGAAAAGAAAGCAAGAAGATATGAGTTGCGTAGCATACAGATACTTGAAACCACAGGGAATCTTTCTGTACCTGTTTGGAAAAGAGAAAAAAAATTGCAGATCAAGCACTTAATCAAAATTTTCAAACCTACAATACCCATCCGAGTTTCTAGTTTCTTTCATCTACTGGAAAATCCATGTTACCAATATAGCAGCTCAAGGAGACTGTTCAGCAGGTCGATGTCTGACTCAGAAGTGAATTTAGAACGTTGAACAGATTTAGATCTCTGCTCATTGATCTCAGAACCCACTAAGACTATTTTCCAGCATTAAAAAAACGAAACCTGAGAATGCCATGCAGTCCTGTAGCTTAGTGGTTAGATCACTCGCCTCACAAGCGAGAGGATCTCAGTTCGATTCCTGCGCAGGGCGAAATATCGGCCAAGTTTCCTCGCTCCACACACCTGTTTACCTAGCAGTAAGTATGAACCCGGTTGTTAGTTGATGAGCGAATCGCTTTTCCAAGGGTAATAATCCCTTCAGAAAAAAATAATAATTTGGTAACTCAATCCATGACTGTTTGTGGGACATTGCTGTGTGCAATCGGCTGCCACGTTTTTCTTGCCAACAAAATACACAGTCAATTCACTTTACAATATATTCTTTGAAGCCCTTTGAGAGTGAGAAGGCGCTCTATCAAATGCAAGGATTATCATTATTATTTCTGTCAGTTGCCAGGTAATACTGTTGTCGAGGATCCCAACAAGCTGGAGCGTGTCGGGGATTGGTGTATCTCTATCCCGTATTAATGATTTCCAGCTTGATAGCAGCTCACTAAGCTGGGAGCTGCTGTTTTCCATGCGGGTCAGCTTGTTGCCGGCCCACAGGCTCCAGCATGTGTGCCACATCAGTTTTATTCCTAGCAGTTTTCCAACAGTCACAGTTTCCAATTGTCTGGCTTATCTCTACTGAATGAATTCACTAACGCCTTTCTTGGTAGCTACCAAATTCATCTACACCCAGGTTTCGTTCCTTCCGAGCATATTCTGTGCTCTGTTAACGTAGGTACAGGTTCAGGCTCAAACTAACTCACAATAAAACTGTGTCCGCAAAACAAGGACAGAAATATATCACGAGACTCACCAACTTCTTTTCTAATTAAAATAAGTTTTCAACTACGTAGACATTAAAAGCAGTAAATAATCAAAACAATAGAAAATACAGGTTTTACCGAAAACTCTTCTGCTTTGAAAAATGACATTTTTGCTTCACAGTACAGTCTCCTCGTGCTCTCTCTCTCTTGTCATATTCTAAACTGCTGTTCTGGCCTTCTGTTCTGATCTCATGTTCTCTTGTGACAATTTCCAGATGACTATTTCGGAGGTTAAAAGTGCAAGCGTTCCCATTAGATGCGACAACACGTATAAGTGGCAACACTAGAACTCTTTAACGCCACTTTGTAAAATGTTTTTTTTTAAAAGCTTCCTCTCAGCTCAACCCAGGTGTTGTTGTAAAGCGCGAAGGTGCAGTGTCGAGAAACGCGGGGTTGTTTAGGAGAATTCAGGATTCTTTCATGAATTTGTACCCAGATTTAGCTCAGTAGCTCACTGTCCTGTAGCTCAGTGTCCGAGTCCTTCAGCTCAGTGGTTAGAGCACTCGCCTCACAAGCGAGAGACGTGGGTTCGATTCCCGGCAGGGCGAAACCTTTGGCAAGTTTCCGTACTCCACATGCCTGATAATAATCCTTCAAGAAAAAGAACAATAATAATGTGATCACTCAACCCACGACTGTTTGTGTGATGCTGCTGTGCGCAATTGGCTGCCGCGTTTTGCCTACGAAATATACAGTCAGTTCACTTTATAGTATCTTCTATGAAGCGCTTTCAGACTTCTCGAAGATGTGATAAGGTGCTATAATAAAATGCAAGGATTATTATATTGTATATATCTTAACAAATAGGCTTCATTCTAACCCTGTAATGGTACAGAACTCAAACCTCATTATACATAATGTATTTAAATTGCTGGCTACTTTTAGCCATTCTGCCCCACTCTCTGGAACTTCGTCCCAGAGTTCCTCTGACGTACTCTCTCTCCCCTCCCATCCCTCCCCACCTCCATGTTCAAAGTCCACCTCTTTGATTGAGCTTTCTCCTCTCCACCTCTCACCCACCCCTATTTAGCTTGGCTGCCTAGCCATCAGTGTAAACTGCTTTGAGACATTAATAAATGTAAGTTGTATTGTATTGCTAATGTCAGGCTATACAGAGGTGCTCATTTTCTCACTAAAAACCCCACAAAATATTTTAAATTACGTTTTTAAGAAAACACAATTGAGCTAAATACTGTCTTTTTTAAAAAAAATCCATTCTAGATCTCCTTCATCATATTACAGTATTGAGGTCCAGTTTAAATCAAATGCTTATGAGCTTTATGAGCCAATTGTCTCATAAAAGGGAATCATATTTTTGAAAAACAACTTTGAAAAAGAATGGAGAAAAACAGAGAAAAAATTGGATTAGAGCAGTTATCTCCGGAGCTAGCACAAGAGTTGCATAATGGTCTGAATGCCCTTCCCTATTGAAACGTCTATGATTCTGTTCCAATTGTATTTTAACACAATAAGATAACAACTTGCACTTATATAACACCTCTGATCCAAGGTAATGTGTTGAAGAGATTTGCATAGATAAAAGGGATCACCATGCAAATGAAGGGAGAGGATGATTTCAGCACGTTAACTGAAGACAAGGTGAAGGAGTTAGTTTTTTTAAAGGAAACTTTGAAAACGGGAAGAGGTTCACGTGGTGAAGGGATTTTGGAGAGTGTTTCAGAGAGCAAGGACATCCTGGCTAAAAGCTTGGCCACTGGTGTGGGCGGAGAGGGTGAGGAAGAAGCAGTTGGTACAGTGTTGCTTTACTTAATGGCCATGAGGCACTTGCAGCCAATTCCCCATGGCTTTCAGGAGACCTGATTTTCCATATATCTTGTATCCCTTTGCTTGTCAGAAATCAAGGCCTTGATGAGCGCCAACTTTTTACAGCTGAACATGTACAAGACGGAAGCCCAGGAATCCTTGCCTTCAGCCAATATGTCCTGAACCTCTGGAACTTCCTACCTTAAGCTGGTAGGTAAAGAGAGGGGTGGGATGGGGTCGAGGGAGCAAGTGGTCGGTTTCATATGGGTTATGATGTTGATGAGAGAGGAGAGTGAGACAGGTTCAAAAGTGTGGAGAGAGGAATGGGTAGAGAGAGGCCTGAGTGTGAAGGTGTGAGGGGTAGAGGGTAGCAGTTGGAAGGGCAGAATAGCCGAGCGAACCCTATTGATATTGGGCTTGAGGAAGTCATTGGAGTTGGAGGAGAGCACGGGTGAGACGTGAGAGGGTGGGCGGAGGACACGGTTGTTGATGGAGAAGAGGAGCCTGGGTTGTCTTTGGCCTCCAAGATTATTTTGGAGTAGAAGGACAATTTAGCGAGGGTGGACTGGTAAGTTTTGATGTGGTCCAGCCAGATCTGCCGATGGACCGTTAGGTATAATTTGAGCCAGGTGTGTTGAGGGAGCAGAGGTAGTTGGTGTACAATAATCCCTCCAAAACAAAACAATAATAAATTGGTCATTTTCAATCCACGACTGTTCGTGGGACGCTGCTGTGCGCAATTGGCTGCCGCATTTCGCCCACAAATATACAGTCAATTCACTTTGCGGTGACACTGAGGTTTAACCAGCTAAACCCACATAGCTTGCCATTGATATCACTGTCTGGCAAGCTTTCCCACTGATTGTCCATTTAGGACCACCCTACCCATTAGAGCTGTGGTTTGCAGGGTTAACGTGCTGAGCGGGATGACTCCCTGTCCCCAGTGACTGGTCTGCCCTTCCAAGTCCCACAGATGAGCCAGACTGGCTGTGCTGTCATCAGCAGTGCCCTGGAATACCTCCCAGGAACCGAACTACTAAGATCGTCACAGAGGGCTGGTTTGAATCCATCATTCTGTTGCCAAACACGTCACCTTGGAGCCAGTTCAGACATGTACCCCACCCCAGGAGGATAGCATTGACCTTATTGCACCTCCAGTTAAAGTGCAAAAAGGCTGCAATAACTTACTTCAGACATTTTCAACTCTGCGGAACATTTGACACGATACAGTTGATCTCTGAATTGAAAAACCGATAGGCTTTAGATAGTGTTTGACATTCTTAATACATTTTTCAACACCAGACATCGTGGCCAAGCATTCCTCTGGCCCAGTGAGTAAACATATCTGAGGTGAGTTAAGGGTCAATAATAACATTAGGAACATAATTAGTGGAACCAAATACTGCTGATTTGAGGCTTGCTGGAGCAGGTAGATTGCTAAATTCTGAAACTCTGGAACTTTCTCCCTCAATCCCTGTGCCATTCCCCTTCCCTCCCCACTTTCAAATCCCACATAAGGACCTTCCTTTTTGATCGTGCTTACGGTCACCTCCCCCACTCCTTCTCCCCTTGGCTCGGGGTCAGACTCCATCACTGTCCAGCACTCCGGGACGCTACCCTGTGTGAAGGGAGCTGTACAAATGCAAGTTGTTGTTGTTGTGGAGCAGGTAGATTACAGCTGAGTCCCGTTTGCCTGTTAAAATGAAGAGATTTCTCCACAATCACAACAAAGAATAAGCATCTACCCTGTACAGTGTCAGTGCCGGCTTAATTTGTTTTTCTGGCAGAAAGTTAAACATTGAACGAAAATGTAAGAGTAATGTGATAGCTTCAAAAGGAATGTGCACATCAGGCAAAATTCCAAAATGTTAAACCTTAATCCACAGCCATCCATTGCTTGTTTTGGCTCCTGTACAGGTTTGTTTGATTTTTTTCCAAAGCATGTCCTTGTTTTTAGAGTGTTAATATTCAAACCAACAGAACACAGAAGAAAAAAATCCCTCTACTCCAGCCTTTGTGGAGGAGCTAGTTTAGTGGCCCTGGGCCATCTCGGTGACTGGGACAGAAAGTTACAAGGATTTCCATTCATTGAAAGGATAGAACATTGGAAAACAGGAACAAGAGGTCATTCAGCCCATCATGCTGTTTCACCAGTTCAATTGTGTTTAGTATCTTTCTGTCTCTCTGTTAGATATCCCAATTGATTCCACTTCTATAGCCTTCTGGGGCTGACCCTTCATTATTTTACAACTCTCTTTGTAATAATAATAATCTTTGCATTTGATATAGTGCTTCGGGACGTGAAACACCTAATTTGTACAGAGCCTTTCACTTCCTCTCGACTTGAAAGGCGCTATACAAATGAAATGTTTTATTGTATTATGTCGCTGAGATGTCTCAAAATGCTTCACAGAAACAATTGTAAAATAAATGATTCCTGACCTCAGTTCTTATCATCTTAGTTCTGATTTTAACCTTTTGCCTTCTTGTAATAGATCCATCTACCAAAGAGTCATCCACTATCTAACCTTTCAATTCCTTTAATTAGTTTAAATACCTCAATCAAATCACATCTTACCCTCCTTTGCTCTAAGGAACAAAGGAAGATAACTCCCTTTTAACCTTGACTTTTATTTGAAGTAAAGCCCCCTAGACTTTGCTTCAAATGAAAATTAAAATAGTGAACCACTACTGGAGAGTCTCCAAGGCTGGTATATCCTTCCTGAGAGTTGGTGTACAAAACTGAATACAAATGAGGTTGACTCTGTATTCCCAGGCAGAGTGAAATCTTAAGCAAGTTTCCTTACTCCACACGCCTCTGTTTACCGAGCAGTAAGTAGGAATCCAGTTGTTAGTTGATTGGCAGATCGCTTTCCAGGGACAATAATCTCATCAAAAATAACTAAATAAAAATAATTTAGTCACTCAGTCCACGAGTGTTTGTGGGACATTGCTGTGCACAATTGGCTGCCACGTTTCACCCACAAAATATATGGTCAATTCATTTTACAGTAAATTCTGTGAAGCACTTTGAGACGTTTCAATGACATGATAAAGCACCATATCAAAAGCAAGGATTATTATTATAACTGAAGAAGTACCTCACTTTTATGTGACACCCTTTGCCTTGATGACTGCTCACTGTAGCTGTGAAGTTGATTTTAATGATATATGGTTTTAATCCCAGAGTTCTCTTTGCTGATTTACCCATCCTAGTGCTTCCCCTTTTAGAATATACATACTCCCAACTGCCAAGATGTGCCTCAAAACGACTTTGAGCATGTTTCAGTCCACCCTCCCCTCCTCACCATCCTGGTGCCTAGTCAGGATTATCATTGAGATGTCCTCTTGACGTGAAAGGTGCTATATATGTGTAAACTGTATTGTACTCTTCACAATTTCTAACATCATGTCGTTTTGTGTCATCCACAAATATACATAGGGAATGTAGATTTACTAGGTTGATACCATAGATGAGGGGATACAGGCTGGAGAGGATAGGAACCATTCCATTGGAGCAGAGGTTAATTTCCGTTGGTAGGTGATTTGCAGATAAGGGGATGTGAATTTAAAATAATTAGGAGCATAATACAATACACAATTACATTTCTATAGCACCTTTCACGTCGAGAGATCACCCCAAGGTGCTGGAAAGTGGGGTGCAAAGGGGATAAAAAACATCTATGTTTAGGAGTTTATATAAAAATTGTTAAGGGCATCATGAAGTACGGTTACAAAAGTCACGTTGGGTTAGGTTTCTTAAAACTTAAGTTTATCCTGTTGAATAATCAAAATGCTTCTGAGTAAATCTGGGAAATGGAAAATGACAAATCATTTGAGGATTTTATTACTTCCAGTAAATGACAAGACAACACAAAAAGTTCAGTTCTCAGGCATTTAGGATTATTCAACAGGATATACTGCAAATTTAAGAAACCTATCATATTACATAGGCTCTTGTAACTGTATTTCATGCTGACCTTTAAGATTTTGATAGAAACTTTGAAAAAATAGAGGTTTATAATTGTTTCTGATTCCTTCAAAGGATCTGTTGCAGCATTAGTCTGTCTGAACTAATTATGTCATTGACTTTGCCTTGTGTCCAGACATGCTGTGCCGTGCGATAAACCCCTCCGGAGTTTCAGATCCAATTAGCACAGTTAGTCTGAGCCAGCGAGTCTGCACAGCTCAGATCGTAAAAGCTGCTGTCGCCGCCTATGAGGTAAGGTCTCAGTGCTGCTGGGGATTGACATCCACTTTCATTCCTAACAAACAAACTTGGCTCTGGGCTCATGTTTGTCCCTGGTCCCCACCACTCCACCATCAGTGACCGTGCCTTCAGCCATTACTCCCTGAAACTCTCTCCCTCAATCCTTGCCCCCTCCCTCCCCACTTTCAAATCTCGCCTAAAGACCTTCCTTTTTGACCGTGCTTACAGTCACCTCCCCCCGGCTCAGTGTCAGACTCCGTCACTGTCAAGCGATCCAGGAAGCTACCCCACATGACAGGCGCCTTATAAATACAAGTTGTTGTTGTTGAAATCCTCAAATGATCGAACTTCATAGAGTCTAGAATTATACAGCACAGAAAGAGGACATTCGGCCAATAATGTCTTTGAAAAGAGCTATCCAATGCAATCCCACTCCCTCACTCTCTCCCCATAGCTCTGCAAACTTGTCCTCCCCAAATAATTATCTACTTCTCTCTTAAAAGTTGTTATCAAATCGGCTCCCACCGGCCTTTCAGGCAATGCATTCCAGATCCCAACAACTCGCTGTCTGAAAACATTTCTCCTCCCTCCCTCTGCTTCTTTAACCACTATTTTAAATCGGTGTCCTCGGGTTACCGACCCACCGCCAGTGGGAATAGTTTCTCTCTGTTCACCCTATCGAATCCCCTCATAATTTTCAAAACTTGGATTACGTCTCCTCTTGACCTTCTCTGCTCCAAGGAGAATAATCCTCACTTCTCTGCCTCTCCTGATAACTGAGGTCCCTCATTCCTGGTACCATCCTGGTCAATCTCTGCACCCTCTCCAATGCCTTGACATCCTTCCTAATGTGTGGTGCCCAGAACTGAACAGTCATAACTTCCTGACTTTTGTATTCTCTGTCCCTATTTATAAAGCCCAGTATCTCGTATGCTTTTTTTAACAGCTTTATCTACCTGTCCCTCCACCTTCAAAGCTTTACTTATATGAACCCCCAGGT